CCACACACACAGACACACACGTGCACACACACATACACATACCCGCGCACACACACACACACACACACACATACACACACACACACACACACACACACACACACACACACACACACAAACATACATACATACATACTCAATCTGCAGACAGCATGCTGTTTCGTTCTTTGTGAACTCATCAGCGCAGCACAGAGGAAATGAGGCCGAACCTGACAGCAATGAAATAAAAATTTCCAATCAGACTCGAACGTACCTCGCCAGAGTGCTCAAACTGACAAATCAGTGAGCTCTGCGTAATGCAAACAGCAAAGGCACTACCCCACATGAGAGTGCTCAACTACTGTAAGACATGTTATTATAACGAGTCGCAAATTTAAGGATTGTCCAAAATTCATACGTTAACGAGAAGATATGTTAACGATCTTGCAGTATTCTGCCATATCCACACACAGCATAGATTAAGCAGTACGGCCTCAACGAATCTTAAATAATATTATAACGAAGAAATGTCATCCGTTAAAACGTTAGATTTGCTTCCTCGTTATACAATGTCATGTCTTACAGTGCGAAAATACTCAATCTGCGGGCAACATGCTGTTTCGTTCTTTGTGAACTCATCAGCGCAGCACAGAGGAAATGAGGCCGAACCTGACAGCAATGAAAATAAAAATTTCCAATCAGGCTCAAACGTACCTTGCCAGAGTGCTCAAACTGACAAATCAGTGAGCTCTGCGTAATGCTAACAGCAAAGGCACTACCCCACATGAGAGTGCTCAACTACTACAAGAGCAGGAGTGAAAATACTCTACATACATACATACATACATACATACATACATACATACATACATACATACATACATACATACATACATACATACATACATACATACATACATACATACATGTACATGTATGTACATACATGCACGAGCGTGCGCACGTTCGCTTGCTCAAATTTGTCAGCTGGAGCTGGATCTGCTGGTGCCGGTGCAGGTGGGGCCTACGGACACTTGCAGAACGTATGAGCACGTATTTCACTTCATGATGATGCCTCGAATCAACACATTCAAAGCCCAGACCTGAGGATCCAATGGTGCACAAGCACCGACTTAGGAAAAGCATAGTGCAGACTCATAATTAGTATGGTAGGAAAGTTGTGTCTACTTCGAAGCATGATTGATGTCGCAAAGATCTAAAGAAGAGAGTGAGAGAAGGAGAGAGGCAGAGAGAGAGATAGAGAGACAGAGACAGAGACAGAGAGAGACAGAGAGACAGAGAGACAGAGACAGAGACAGATAGAGAGAAGTGAAATTTACAAGGTTCGACATCCCCTGGCAGAGCATTTCACCCAAAAAATATTTTCGCAGGCAAGAGAGTCTGAGGGCCGGTCCAAAGTTACCAATAGTATTTTCCAAACGAAAGGTTTCCGTTTGGGGGTGGGTGGTTTCAGGAGTTCCGTTTTGAATTTTTTTCGAATGTATGTATACTCGGCCACCCAGGTTCCTCACCTATACGGTTATTTGGTTGACACAGATGTGTGAGATTAACGAGGACTGGCTGCAATTTAATCCCTGCACTTCTTTATCTTAAGGTGGCAGACTACCCAAAAATTCGCTGAAAAATCGAATTTGTAAATTCATATTGAGTGCTACGTCAGTTGAAAGAGCATGAATAGCTGCAAATTCTCGGAAAATTGTGTCCCGATCTGACCGGCCGTTCAAGAGTTATGGCCGAAAATGTGCCCTTGCAAGGAAAGATTTTTTTGTTGCACGCTGTCATTTGTTGGCAGCACTGTATTTGAATGTGAGCAGACCGTGCGCAACTTGTCGTATCATGGAAACACGTGAAAGTGTGCAGAATTTTGCTCCAAGTCCAAAACATCAGGTTTTTGAGCCACGTATTGGGCTGCACGGCGGCGGGCTTTGCCCGCCGCCGTGCAGCAGGACTTTTGCCAGCACCCTCGTGATGTTGCAGATATGTGGCTTGATTATTGTACATGTAGTTGACGTTGATTTAGTGACTTTGGCAAGTTTGAGTCGTGTCAAGAAGTCAGCTAGGATTCAGTACTAGGCAGTAGTGAAACGTGAGTGGCAGTCTTTGCCGGTTTCTGAGGGTATCCTGGATTTGGTGTGCAGCGCTGTGGAAATGGCTTGCTGTGGAGGTCCCAGCACTGGATGTTGTATCAAAGGTACGACCTCGTAGCACGTGCTAAATCTAAAAGAATTCAAAAATTGACTTGGGTCTGTGGGAGTGTGTGAGAGAACGCCCACTCGTTCCGTTGTGACAGATTCCAGGGCCTCGTTGAGGGGCCCTACCCCATCACCCATGGCTGCTTCTGGACTTGTTCTAGGTTTGAGTCCCACGCACGAACAGAATGAGCACGAAAATGTGAAAAAATTGTAAATGCATTTGTTTGGCTCCTGGGTGGCTCGCACACAGTGGCACTATGCCGGAAATTTGAGTTTTTCCGGCCTGGAAAGCCTGTCAGTGAGGCGCAAGAACTTGTAAATCATGTCCTGAGGGCCAGCATAGTGGCAGGAGTGTGTGGTCAAAATTTCACTCAAATCCATTGAGAAACACCAAAGTTACGGTCAATTGAATGCCATATGAAATTTATGGGTAGGCTGCCCCCTTAAGGATGGTATTGACTTGGACAAATTTATGATATTCCACTCTTCGACTGTCACAATGCAACAGTCGACTGCTGATGAGAGTGTTTGCACTCTTCATTTCAATACTATGTTTTAGCTTTTTCTTTCTCACCATTTTCTTTGGAAGCCTGCTTTCTTCTTATTCTGAAATAGAAGAACCAATCACAAATGTTCAATTCTGGATAACTGCTTTATGTGGATGATTTCACTCATGGTACTTTTCTCCATGCTTTGTTTAGCAATCGCTTCCACTGCCGCTCCATCTGCCACAAGTTCTACTATATGTAAGTGTTTTGAATACGAATACTCTGCAAACTGGATAAAATGTTAAAATGTTATAAAACTTACTTGTGCCAATGCTGGTCACAAAGGTGAGAATTCTCAATGAAGCAATGAGAAACACACTTGAGCGGTGCAGAGAGAAGTGTGCTCTACACACATGTCATGGCAGCACAGTCCCTTTCACTACAGAGCAGTTATAGTGTGTGTATGTGTGTACGTGCGTGTATGTGTGAGCGCGTGCGCATGCTTGTCTGTGTGCATGTCTATGCGTGCATGTGTGCGCGAGAGTGGTCGAGAGTGCGTTTGCATGTGTTCCAGGGTTTTGTGTGTGTGTTTCCGTACTCTGTACCTGTTAGTTGTCGATGTCGGTTTTTCAACTCTGCTGCTTGTCTTTGATCTAAACACGCAAACACCATCTCCCTGCTGCAAACGTTGGGGCTTGGCCTATCCTCAGGATGAAGCCATAAAACTAAGCCCTGCGCTGGCTTGCAGCAAAGAGGATCGATATGTTATACTCTAGGAGCAGGTGCCTAGCCAGTCATCCAGGATTGGGCACTGAAGAGACCATGAGACGAACTAGCCTGTCAGTGATTTGCTCCTGTTGACATCCCTCTTGTTGTCCCAGCTCCAAGATGCCCCTGCTAGACGGTTTGCAAGCCCAACTTGCAAGTACATGTAGGCATGGAGTACTCAATATCGGATCCATGAATGTTTATGGTGGGTGGAGGGTCCAAGCTGCCGGGGTTGGCATAATTGTCAGGAGGACCCAAAATTTATCAAATTTTCTGTACACAGATGGTACATTTGAAGACGAATACTGCTGCTCTACAGAAGACGCACTCGTTTTGAAGCGTGACATATCAGGTTGATGAATTGGTCATTGTTGTATCTGGCCACTCTGTGCCTGTGGAGTGAAAGAGCTGGTTTAGAGGTGAATTAGGTTTTCGACTGGGATTTGAAATGGTCGGTAGCAAAAGAAAGTGGAAATCTCTAGTGACAGCTTTGTTCCTGAAATTCCACAGCAAGGAAATAGGGAAACAAATCATGTTAGGGCGTTGTGTGTAAGGTCTCGCAATGCAAACATTTGTACACTTTCCTGTTTTCACTGACAGAGCTGGCAGTGGTCGTGGTTTGCCAGGTGACCGAAGTAGAGTACAGGGTCCTTGGGGTTTGAATGCATCTCCTCCTCGACCGTCAACAGTCGACTGCTGTTGAGCACTGTTGCATTCTTCATTTCAACATTACTTTCTTACTTTCATCTTCACAATTTTTCCAGGAAAATGTTTGCTTGCAATTCTGAAAGGCACTGTAGACGAACCGATCGTAAATTCCCGAACTCTGGATAACTGCTTTGTGTTGATGATATCACTCTCGATCCTTTTCTCCGTGCTTTGTTTAGCAATCGCTTCCATCACCGGTCCACTTTCCAACAGTTCTGCCAGAGGTAAGTGCTATTGAGTATTCTGCAACCCGGATAGAATGTCAAACTGTTCTAAAACTTACCAATGCTGGTCCCAATGGTAAGAATTCTCAATGAAGCAATGAGAAACACACTTGAGCAGCGAGGAGAGAAGCTGGCCGTACATACGTGTTGTGGCAGCACAGTTGCACAGTATAGTGTGTGTATGTGCGTGTGATGGCGCTGGTACCATACGTAGGTGCGACAGGAGACAGACTCCCCACCTAATCCGTGATGGAAGAACGAACTTGAGCCCGAATTAGTTCACGAATCCCATTTGGATCCAAGATGGCCGTGCGGCTCGGTGAGCACCTCACTCATGTTCACGGCGATACCGGCTGAGTCATTTTCTGAAGCAGGGGCGTCACACACGGCACGACCAGTCCGTCCATGGTCATACCCCTTCTTTTTATCCAGGATAGTCCGCCCACAGCGACGTCCATGGTCGTACCACTTCTTTTTATCCAGGATAGTCCACCCAGAGCGACGTCCATGGTCGTACCACTTCTTTTTATCCAGGATAGTCCGCCCAGAGCGACTGTGGAGCGCTAAAACGTGCCCTGTTGAGCGGAAAATCCGATTTTTCCTGAGCGGAGAAATCCCCCAGCCCCCAGTTTGACCACTGCACACTGCCCTGGGAAGCCTCTGTGACTGGTGAAGGGTTGTGCCCAGATCTTCGCACTCCATGTCATCTAGCAATCTCTGACGCAGAACAGATTTGGGTTCCAGTAGCCAGCAGACCGCACTTTTCCAGCTCTGCCCGCAGTTCTGCAACCTGCATCCGATGTACATTTGACAACATTGCTTTAGGCCGAAACTACGACACCAACAGTGCGGGCTAAAAACTATCAAAACGGCAGGAGATTTTCGAAAATCTGATTCTAGCACAAGCTAAAAGTCGCCAATTATTCGAATTCGCAGTGAAGCCAACAGCAAGAAAGAAAGAGAAAGCAAGCAGTCGTGCACAGGACGATACAATTTCGGTCGGAAGGACGATGGAAGATATGTGTGACGTCAGGCTAAGCGTGCGCAAAGCTATGCGCTGGCACGTGAGTGCAGTGCGGCAAAGCATTCAAGTTGCGGTGCATGGCACATGCAAACATGGCAGTGCGATAGGCGGATTCAGTTACACACTAACTACATTACTGCGACAGTTAACGTTGTGCCCGTATGAAACTGGCGTGAACTAGCCATCAAAATTTCACAATTTTGATTTTGTTTTAAGCTGACCACAAGTCACAAGTCATCATGGTGCAAATCCCGGCAAAAACGAACAGATATGCACATAGTGACGGCAGCCGAAAACGTCTGGAAGTTTCAAGATTTACAGACTTACCGAGACTGCATACGTTTAGCCTGGTGCCACGTTACACCTTTGTGGGCATTGCGTGTGTTGATATGCCTGGGGACGAGGTTACTGTGTGTAAACTGTACCGTTCCCCCCTATTCTCAACCCCTTTCCCATCCCAATTGGAAAGAAGGGCATGAACCATATCATGTATTGCACCAAGGATGACTAGCTGAAGTGACGTTCAGTTGCTTTATCAATAGTGCTAAACGATGGAAACGATGCGAACAGTTAATTAATGGAAAAAATAAAATACAATGTACATGTAGTTAAGGATAGAACGAGGGAAAATGATTCGGACTAGTTTTCATATCATACCATATCATGTGTTTAACATTACATGGTCAATCCTCGGTGCGTGCGATAACTTCGACAGCGGTGGGTATGTGACGCTGCTCACAGATGTAGCCGTTTGCTTTACTAATAGGGACCGGCAGATTCTGCTCGAAAAGCAGTGAAATTGGCAGAACCATACAAACCTTATGGCGGACAATTTTTCGAATTCTGCTCCATTTCTTTATCTACATACCAAACATGCATGAAACTTACCAGAAAAAGTACCGAATTCTGCCAATTTTTCTGCCGGCATAATCCACCGGTGCCTATTTACTAAGCACGACATTTCATTTTCTTGTCTCTGCTGCAGATGGTACTCCGAAACTGGCGAGTGTTCACAGCACTGGTCTGTTGCCCACGCTGATCTTGATGGCGGTAATTTTATTCTGAAGGCATGTCTGTTTTACAAGGCAAGGCAACGGCAGCCATCAGATAAAAGTTGGAACGACAACCGAATGTTGGCAACTCTCAGATACATGGAGATGGATAGATAGAAATATGTACTTAGCTATCACTCTCTTAGTATAGACTCCCATTGATTACCGCTATATTTAAGCAGTCAAATATTCCTGCATCCTCCACTCCTTAGCGCTATGACTGTGCTCGCCTCTACTCACTTCTGTAGTGCCAATGTCTCAATGCTCCGCTATTATAGTTTGCGATTGAGCCAGTTTCATTTCATCATTATTTTCACTCTCTGATGAAGCCCGAAGGGCGACAATTTTGAGATTTCATTTCTTTTGAATAAAAATTGCAGCGTCAACGACCTTTGTGTAGTCATGGTGACTGATCATAATATTTTTTTGACTCTTTATAGTAGAGAGGTTCCGCGTAACGTAATTACGTTACTAAAAACGTAGTCGATCTACGGAAAGTCTTACGTAAACTGCATGCGCATCTGGGTTCCGCCATACGGAGTTTTCAAATCACGTAGCTGCCCTCGGCAACTCCGAATGCGGCAGTGTACGACCAGATCGACATGGGGAGAGAGTCATAAATTTGTACCCCAGTCCACTTACGGACCAGCTACGTTATCAGAGCCGTTTCTACGCTCTCTCCGATGACAACTTTCCGTAAGTGGAGTGCAAACTCGCGAATTCACGGGTTTTCCCGCCCACTAACGTAAAGTTGCTCAACTTTACGTAGTGCGGAACCTATTCTATTAATTAAATTTTAACTGCTTGTGGGTTGCGCAGTTGAACGGTGCCTAGTGCATGGTCACTGTACGTTGCCCGGCGGGTTGTGCAACAATAGAGAGGTTAATTTGCACGTGTTTTGCCTTTTTTCAAAACGCAGTGCAAATCTCACGTTACGTGTGACTTTTAGAGGTTAAAAGTTACTTGTGCGAAGTGACGTGAAATTTTACCTGGTAGTGGTAGGATTCGGCTTTAGTTTCGCACAAATATCAAATCCTCCAACTAACTCGATAAAACTACGGAAACTCGCACAAATTCGATCGGGATAACAAAGCGAAACTTCCAAAAACCCACGTCACGAGCTTACGTGCAGGGCAGTCAACTCACTTAAAACACGTCAAATTTTACGTGAGTTTTTTTTTAATTTTGACGCAAAAGTTCACGGACGGAAGAATTTTACGTGAAACGTAACCTCTCTAATGGCACAATCCGAGCAGCATGCTGTAGCCCATGGTCGTATGAGTAGGTCCATGTCACGGTTTGAAGCCATACAGAATTGACCCTTTATAGGCTATACTGTAACCAGATCTTGTAAGGCCGCATGTAAACCAAGTGCAATCATGCTGTGATGGGCCACTTGCCAGTCATGACTTGCTGATTTTGTACTGTGAGTGCATTTTTGTTACAAGGAACTTCGGCTATAAAGAACTTATTCCCCTGCACAATAGTGTTCGTTCTATCACGAGGACGGTGAAGACGCGAGGACGCCAGAATCAGCTTGTCGCCAAGTGTAACACCAAGATAAAATCATTCATTCAGCATTCTTTTAAAATCTTCAGTCTGTCATTCTTCACTGATGAGACTTTATAATGGAAGACACAGTACTGAAAGGAGAAATTATGGATGTCATTATCTACAACTTGGAGTCATGTTGTTGGTGTGATTTGGTTAGTGGGAGAGTGCATCTGATGGAGGTGGGATTATCTCATTGATAAACAGGCCGAAATGTCTGTGGCTGACTTCCTTTTTAGTACAATCTTTTCTTTAGCCTCGTTGGAACAGCTAACTTCCATATTTTCTTTAGTTCGAGGTAGGAGTAAAAAGTTATTCGAAAAGTAGTAGATGAACTATGTATTGTGTGTGGTAGCAGGTGGGCAACATCAGGCAAAGATGAAGCAGGTTACAAAGAATGAGGTGAGAAAGGTATTTAATAGACAGTAACTCATGTCACCAGGTGTACGACCATTGAACAGAGTCATCTGGAGTAATCTGGTCTGACATGGCAAACACAATTCTGCAGTATGCTACTAGAGTATAGTGACGTTTCACGTGTTGTACTGTATGTCATGTGTCATGCGTGTTTTGAACAGGCAGAGCTGAGGAATGGCATGGATCATTCTGACTGCAGTTCTGTTTGTTGTTGAAGAACTACATGTTCCAAAAAAAATTCACGGTTCGCGTGAGACTCGGCTGGAAGCCGAGTTTTCCGCATCCGCTGTGGGAACGCCACCACCCTCTAGGATCAAAGGCGCAGATGCAGCGCCTAAACGGTGGGAGGTGAGCAGATCAGACCCACCACCAAGTGGTCAAAGACCGTAATCCCATCCCGTGTAGCTTAGACCCTTCTTATTTTACTCATGCAGAGCTGTCTATACAGTTGAGCCCCTTTGTACATAAGGCTAACCTACACCTGGTACCATTATAGTCTATTCATTCTTGGACGGCCGACTGTACTGTCTATAGCCAGGTGTTCCATAGCTGAACCCCCCTTGGGAGGCAACCCAACCCTTAGGCCTTGCCCTAGCTGCTGCGAGCTGGAGTCACGTGCATACCCATGGTGGATTGTACACTTCTAGTCCCCAGGTCGGCTGTCCAACCAGCCTACTACTAGTAGACTGGTTGGACAGCCGACCTCGGGACTAGAAGTGCTAGAAGTAGAAGCGCCGCGGCCATGGCTGACAGCACAAAACAAGAGAAATGATGATTGTATTGTGTGAACGGATCCCAACCACGCAGACAGTACAGACGGTATGCATGTTTGGAAGATAGGTACTGAAGTCCGTACATGTAGTGGTTGGGAGGTGTGGTGCATGGCCAATCAGTGTCAGTGTCTACTCGCTAGAGCCTCTTGCGAGTAGGCAAAATTAATTGCACATATCATGAAACAAATTCAAAATAAGAGTCCACTGATGTTGCTAAGTGCAGATCACCTGCTAGTCAGTCCCAGAGTGAGCTGCACCCCGGTGTTGAGACTGGCGGGATCACAGCCCTGCATGTCGACTGATGTTGCTCAGTGCAAATCACCTGCTAGGAAGTGAGACATAACTTCATCAAAAGCTCACGGAAGGGAGGGAGTCTATTGGTCCTACTCTCTAGCTAATGAATGGGAGTCTGTTGGCTCTGTTCTCCAGCTAATGAATGGGAGTCTGTTGGCTCTGTTCTCCAGCTAATGAACGGGAGTCTGCTGATACCATTCTCTAGCTAATGGATGGGAGTCTCATGCTCCTATCATGCAAGCTCACGGACAAAATACTGATTATAGTATATTGCTCCCGTTCTCTAGCTCAAGCCAGTCATTACGTTAACAGGAGGGTGGTGCGCGGGTTCTCTAGCGATAGAGTTTAGAAAAATAGATAAATGCACGCGTGCGACGTGACTGCATGCAGTTGCAGGACTGCCAGCACACTTGTCAACAATAATTACATACTGCGGGTCACGTGACACTCCCGTGTTAGCTAGACACAAAGTTTTTTATTACAATCAGCACACTCACAGGTATTAGCTACTGTAACAGTAAGCATACTAATTTACTAGCAGCTCCAGTCGACACAACACATCGAACTCACTCCTTCTGGACTAACCAAGAACTGAGGGGAAACCCTCGTCGTGGCCAGCCCTCATATTTCAGAATAAATGCAGGGAGTCATATTCGACTCCCTGCTGTGTTCAGAGTACGGTGTGGGAGGTAGAATAAGGATGTGTGTAGAGAAATAGTTGTCCATTATGCATGAATAATAATAAGTAATTCGGGGATCACCATTCAGAGCATGCAGAAAGAGTGTAAGTCATTATGTGATTGGAAGGCCAACGGGAATGGGGGAAGCAGTCTCTAAGCCCATTCCCGTCACAGCTACTGCTACTATTGCTGCTTTGAGAACGGCTTTATTCACAACATCAATCGGGCCAATCGCGTCAAACCATGAAGTAAGAGTCAAAGCAAAAAGACAACCCAAATTCGGAAATTTAATAGAACACTCAGTTTAAATGTAAGATTGAAAACAAAGGCTTCACAAGAAATCGTAACCTAATTAGATTGCCTACCAGCATGCATGCAAAGGCGAAGTCACGCCTCTGCTTATGTCAGAACTGTTGCTGCTTCTACTGCTGTATGGGCCTGACACTGCAAGGCTTGTGGCAACACTGCTGCTATAGACACTGATGCAGAACTGCGCGTTGCGCTACTGCTGTTCATGCTACTGTTTATACATGAACTAGTGTGTAAGTTAGTTAGTTGACCGTGTGGTCTGCGTTTGAGTTGGCTGTCTAATGTCTGCTGGCCAGTCACGACAGGTGCAATCTGCAAAATTTCCCCCTGGCGTCTCACTTGTCATTTATTGACAGGTGAGACGCCTGTGGGACGCCGGAGAAGATAAGACACACGCACACACACACACAATGCATTACTGCGCACAGCGCTGCAGAGTGCTGCAGTATAGAACAGCACAGTTACAGTCAGTAGCAAGGGAAAAAAAGAAACTACTCTCACACACTCATACAGTATGATAGTGGCTGCTGATATGGCAAGCAGGTGCAGTACTACTTCAAGTAGTAGTACAGGTTATGGTGTTGTTGTACATGTAGTAGCAAGAGCAAGGCTGCTGTGTGCTGGCCGGAGTTTGAATGAAATTATTTTATTCTTATTTTTCTTTTATTCCACGATGGCGTGGCGCCAATAAGGACGATTGATAAGTGTGATAGAACTGGTACTAGGCAGAAGCAGCTACAATTATTTATCAACTGACCGTCGACAGTGCCACTCACAGCAGAATACTGCAGGAGAATGTACTACAATCTGCACAGTACCAGCCATAGCTATAGATTAGACCTGTGTGCTGGTTTGTTTTAGTAATTCCTATCTGCACATCTGTTACACTCACGTCTCTCACTGCTAGTTTAGAGAAAGTCGCCGTCAACTGTAGCTGCGGCTGCTCAAGCAGCTGCGCGCTACCATGAACAGATCTTGCCCATCACCAAACCGGGGAAGAACTCAGACAACAGGGCAGCCAGCATGCTGGGTGTCTTCGCTGCCAAAGGCTGTCAGAGAGCTGCGGGATTCGCTATGTGCAATCTACACCAATGCCCGTACCCTGGTCGAGGACAGCAGCACAGAGGAGGTGAGAAGTTTGAACATTGATGAGATCTACGCAAACTTGCATGTCGTCTCACTTGAAGAGCTTAGTGCAAGAATGCAGCAGCTGAATGCTGACACACTAGGCAGCAGTGCTGGGATTGAGCAGCTCACACACTCCCTTGCTTCAGCTGCGAAGAAGCTGCGTAAAATAAAGCTGGCCAACATCCTCAAAGCAAAGAAGTCCATGAGACTAGCCCAGGGGAGGGAAACGTTCCGCACCATTGCCCTCTCTTGCGCTGGTGGGGGGAAGACGTTGCTGTTTATCAAGAAAGGTCCTTACGACTGGGCACTGGGTCGCATTTGGCAAGAGATGGCTCTGGTGTTCGCCCTTGAGCTCCGCTTACCGTCTGTGCGCCAGGCTACGTGTGCTGCTGAGCTTCTGGCCTTGAGGAGTCACGACATCATCTCGGATACTGATCAATCTGAGATCTGCGCATACGTGAAACTCCATCCAGAGAGAATCTGCATCATACTTGATGGATTGGACGAAACGAAACTGGACGAGTGCAGCCCTTATGTCCAGGATGTCATCGCCGGAAATCGCTTGCCTGGTGTTCGCCTCATCATAACGTCACGCCATTCCACGGAGGCTATGAATCTCATCCACAATCCCGAGGTTGTTTTCCACCGACGCGTCGAGCTCTTGGGTTTCGAGCAGAAGGAG